CACGTAAAAAAGCAATGCGATTTCGGAAAGAAATACCACAAACTTGGGGGGTTTCTCTGTAGTCACCATCGACAACCCATTGGAAAATTGCTTGCATTTCTCACTATTGTTTGTCAGAAGCCAATGAAGAAGATGAAAACTGTATATTCTGGAATAATCAATGGGTTACAGAATATATACAATTCAAGAATCATAAGATGACTATGATACACATACCTAATCTGACTAGAATATATAGAGTCCTAATAAAGAATGTCGAAAACGGTAGACATTGCCCCCCACGACGCAGTAGCTTTGCCGTTATACACGACTACTTCCGAAAGGAGTTATCTTGACCCACAAGATCTTGATCACCAATGTTCCCAACAAGTTGATAGGGAGAACTTGAACCTATACCGGAACATTATGCCACCCAATTAGACTGTGTTGCAACTTCATATGGAAATTTTTTGTCTTTGATAACCCTAGTGAGTAAAAAGCGTGCCTTCTAAAATATAGGCTATGGGGAGAAACAAGTCAACAATTGCAGTAGTGAACTTGTCGAGGCGGAGGTTCTGGTTAGTTTGGCCAAACTTCGAACTAGTCTAGGGAGGATTCGTCTGCGAAAACACCACTTTTGGAGATGAAATACAAGAGCTTGATCACCAGCGTGGCCCAGCAAGTTGACAACGAGAACCCGAATCTCTATGATATGAACCTAGTTATAGGTTGAAATAAAATAGAGTATTGTCCCAAGATAGCTCACGATGCAAGGATAGAGATAGATTGAAATACCTTAAACCTCATGTGAAACCCTTAGTCCCAAATTCTCAAAGACTTAGGAAGAATCCGGTTATATCTTCAAGTACCTCGATGATACAATCTTCAATCAACTAAAGTCAGATGAACGAGTCAACGAACCTAAATTTAAAGTTGAAGAGAGGGCGATTGATTCGATTCCATGAATCAATTGCTAGTCGAGTCCACGAGCTAGCCACTAATTGAGTCCATAATTAGCAATAAGATTTCTTACAGAAGTGTAAAAAAAGACTTAATAGTTTTATTGAAAGAAAAAACGTGATTAAAGCTGTTATGGTTGTATCCTATTTATAGGTATAGGGGCAACATTATTGTCCTAAATACAATGGAAAAAGAGTCATAAACCTAATCTAGAAAGCAAGTAAAGATAGTCCTACTTAGAAAGGGATTTAAGAAATCATTTTTGAATAGAGTTAATACCCAAAATCGTCCTCGACTATAGTGGTTTTTCTCATTTTCATCCTAAACGACTTTGGTGACCTAATATCGTCCCAGACTTTTGTGTTTTGCTCAATTTAGTCCTCCATTTGTTATTCCGTCAAATTGGTGTTAAATAAAAGGACAATTCAGTAATGTCAATATTGATCTTTCTTTACTTTCAACTTGTGAAGTGCGAAATTCCTCTTTCTTGTACGAATTACACCCAGAATTACTCCCGAACCTGCAAATCAAATTTTATATTCGCAGTTTTAGGAGTAATTCGTAAAAAAAAATGAATTTCGCAGTTCACATGTCTATGAGTAAAGAGATGCCAATATTAAAATTACTGAATTGTCTATTTATTTAACACCAAATGGACAGAATAACAAATGAAGGACTAAATTGAGCAAAAACACAAAAGTCTAGGACTAAATTGAGCGAAACACAAAAGTCTGGGACGATATTAGGTCACCAAAGTCGTTTAGGACGAAATTGAGAAAAACCACTATAGTCGAGGACGATTTTGGGTATTAACTCTTTTTGTATACAAACTAGTGTTTTCTCTTTCATGCCAAACATTTTAAATTAATGATGACCCAAAATAATAGGGCTAATTTGGGCCTAATTTAATTCCTAGAATCATCACTCAAACAATTAAATAAAGCCTTAAGTTCTTCTTCATCTTTTGCAATTGGGCTTGACTTGAATTTTTACCATCTTTGAACTTAACCAATGAAGAATTGTACGTCTTAATTGTTTGGACTTGAACCTTGTGATTGGGCCATTATAATTCTTTCCTCTATCAAATTGACTTCTTAATGGCCTTTCTTGTTCCTTCCACGGTTCCACCAATGATGCTCTAAAAATGTAGTGATAGACCTTGTGAAGAACCCACTATGGATTCTTATTGGATCCAATGTGTGTTGGTTCTTATTATTATACTTGTAAGAAGACAATGTGTATTGTATGTGCTGCCATTGTTTCACACATAAGCATTTAATAGTGAGTCCTCAAATTATTTTAAAAATCTGAGATGTCATCCTAATAGGTTTTGATCGGATGTTAACTTGCTATAGCAAGTAAAAGTGGTTCAATTGCATCTTTTCCCCGAGTTCATGTATTAATTTGGAGCATTTTCGAGTTTAATGTCTTAATTATTGTTTTGGTAAAAGTTGAATGGCTTATTTGACTTTTATTCCCAAAACAAATTAAAACGATGACTAACTGTGGCAAACAAATGAAAGTTAAGAACATAATTAATGTGGCAAAACTAAAAGTGAATGACTAAATGTGGCAATCCCACAATAGCCGAACAAATAAACTCAAGCTTGATATTAATAGATTAGTAAGGTGATGTTGACCACTTAACCATATAGTCAAAGATTTTAAACAAAGGTTTGTGCAGCAGGAAATGATTTCTCAAGAAAATAATTCAAGTAAAAGAGAGATTAGATATAGTGAATTTAAAGTGCAAGATAAGTAAATGAGACAACTAATTTTGTAGTGGTTCGAAGGTGATGTAATCGATCCTTCTACTTCGCTCTTCTCCTATCATCCAGTAAGAAATTCACTATAATTAATCTTCAATACAATTACAGTGAATCACATGAATCAAGTGCTTTGACCACTAAGCAGTATTACTTCAATAAGGCTTTCACAGACACTCTTCTGTTTTTCCTCCTCTATCTACCACTTGGTAGAGATATACAAAGATTCCAACACAAAGGTTGAAAGAAACTCCAACTAAGAGACTAAAAGAAAGTTGAATGAATCTTGTTGAACTATTAATTATCTTGAACTAGATGAAAGGTGCTTGTGAGCTTTGAAAATGTTTGAACCCTACTTGAAATTTGAAATTTGAAACTAGATGAAAGGTGCTTGTATCGTTTTTCGTTACAAGTCATCTTGCTTATCAAAAAACTCTGTTGCTAGATCCTTGAAAAGTCATGTTGATTAGTAAAAGTCTTGCTATTTATACTTCTCCGGTATGCATAAAACCCTTGATGTTCTCAAACCTTGTGGTTTGTTGAGAATCTTTGTTGCCACAAGGTCTTGTTGTGCCGATGTAAGCCTCACGTCAGCCTCGTGAAAGTTTTGTTGCTTAAAAAACTCCTATTGCTTGCAAAACTTTTACTACTTGTACGTAAAACGTACTCCTACTACTTTGATGATTCAACAACTACTTCACTCAAAGAACTCTTGTTGTCAAATAGATATGCTATATTGTATGCTCATGCTTTACTACCTCTTGTTTTCTAATAACTTCACTTATGAAGTAAACACCAAAGACTTACTGTGATGAACTCCCCTAGATCATATGACTTAGCAATTTTTGTAGCATACGAAAAACTAAATAACTAACCTCTATATATATATATATATATATATATATATATATATATATATATATATATATATATATATATATATATAAGGGGACGTTTGATTCACAGAATGTTAGATTTCTATGTTTGGTTTAAAACTAAGATATGTAAATAAGACAACGGTAATAAGATAAATTGATTAAAAAATACAAAACAAATACAAAACCCAACATTAGTAATAAGACAAGGGAATGTGAGATTACCTAAGAAATTGGAGGGTATCTCAATTCTTACATTTCTTTCCAATAGCTAAAAACTTAAAGGTTTAAAGACCTAATATATATTCCTAAAATATGATTTGAGTCATCAAAATCTAATTACACTTTTTCCTAACACCTCCCCAAATATAAATATTTCTTATGCTCCTTGGCATAGGCTATATCCCCATCAATTTGTTAAAGCCCGATAATAGAAATGCTTTAGGCAAAACAATGTAACTAATAATTGAATGAAATAGAGAATAAATATTGAGCAGCTGCTTAGTTGTGTTTGTTAACAAAATATGTTAACCGGATGGGAAAATGAGTGTGAAAATGGATGACAACATGAATGGAAGTTGTGGTGGTCATTTGAGAAACTAGGGGTGAAGGAAGAAGAGAAGGATCGTGTAATCTCAATGGAGAAAAAGGGCTCTTGATATCATATACAAAAGTAATTTGTTGTGTTTGTTAACAAAATTAATGAAATTATTTATACAAGAGTTTAACAACTAAATATCAAAGATACAGCATAACTAATAGTAGGAAAGAGACCAATAACACCTATTCAAAAGGAGACATTACATAAGAATAGAATGATCAAAACAGAACACTAAACTTAATCAATGTGAGCTATCCATTCATAATTCCATAACTGTACATTTATAATTGCATAACTGTACATTCATAATGCCACAAACGAATAACGCCGTTAACGACGTGACAAAACCAAAATTTTTTTTAACTGAAATGCCACATTTTTCCTTAAAACAACATCGTTTTAGACTCGTGTCCACAATACATTGTGTACACAAGTCCACAGCATAATTTGCGATGCTCCTTGGCATAGGCTCCAGCCCCATCAATTTGTTAAAGCCCGATAATAGAATGCTTTAGCCTTAAGGTAAAACAATGTAAAACTAATAATCAAATGAAATAGAGAATAAATATATAATGAGCAGGTGCTAGTTGAAGAGTTGACCCAAATTGACAATATAAAATCCCCCACGTGTGTGAAGCCAGAATGCAACAAGAAGAAGTCAACAACAACCCCACCCGCGTTGACCTCCATTCTTTCAAGGCCTCATCACATCATGTGTTATGTCATCATAATATAATCCGTCCATCTTCAGATCTTCTTCTCTACGCTCTCTCTACGCTCATTTGAACTTCATTCGAACACGGGATTACCAGGCGTTAGACCTATAACCCCTTCTGTCGTTTGAAATTTCTTTCTTCTTCATCATCCCAATCATATATATAATCAGGTCGGACAACGTTATATTCATGAAAGACATCATCATCATCATCAAAATCTGTCTTTTGTGTTGTTTACAAGCTTTATTAATTTGGTCTCCGATGGAGCAAGCTAAGTATACGGGAGTGAGGAAGAGGAAATGGGGGAAATGGGTGTCGGAGATTCGGCTGCCGAATAGCAGGGAGAGGATATGGTTAGGCTCTTATAATGCACCGGAGAAGGCCGCCAGGGCTTTCGACGTCGCCCAGTACTGCCTGCGGGGTCCCACCGCTCGGTTCAACTTCCCGGACGACCCGCCGGACGTCCCCGGCGGCCGGTGGCTCTCTCCGGCAGAGATACAGGGCATCGCGGCGAGCTCCGGGAACGATTACCGGCTGAAACCGCTGCCTGAGAATGACGGCGACGGCGTTCGGGGGACGGGGACTGATGATGATGATACGACGCACGTGGTGGAAATAAATGACACGTCAACCTCGTCAGCCCCGGGTGGTGGGGCCCAATTGGAGGGGATTGATTGGTCGTTTCTGGACAACTTGGATGCCCCTTTCACGAGTAATGATTATTTTGGCTTATTTCACGGTGACGTCTACGTGCCACCAAACGACTATGAGATTGAGTATGGAGATGATGGAGAGAGTATAGGCCATTTCTCTCAACAATCTTTCCTTTGGAACTTTTGACAAATCTTCTCAAACACACTATCATCTATACTCAATTTCTCATACCTTAAAGAAAATTTTTCATATATATTACAAGTGGATGATATAAGCGAAGTCAACGTCACAATATATCGAACACAAGATGGTGACATTTAGTTTTTGTTCCTAAATATGGTGCTACTTGATCGACGACGTACTAATATTTCTGGTTCTATTATTATGTATTTTAGGTTTTTTTTCCAGAAATTTTTTTAAGAGATGATTACCCATGTTTTATCAAGGATGCATCATATATCCACCAATGAATATATCTAATGTCTTTGTATACAACAGACTGATTTGAAAATTATTATAAGCGCAATTTGTGTATGTAATATATATGTAATTTTCGTTTTTTCTTGCAATATTGATATTCATCTTGTGTTAACTCAAGGAACCTATTTTGCTTGCATGCATGCATGTATTTACTATGTAACAGAAGTTGATGAATATATATTTTTTGACAGAAAGTTGATGAATATATAAATTTTTAAGCAATTCAAAAAAAATATAATCCATTAAAAATCTCTTGAGTGACCAGGGTACTTGTTGTCCTGTCCTTGATATGAAGACCCTGGAATCCTTTTTTGCATTAGGAGAAACTATTCAAAATTTCTCCAAAAGAACTATTAGAAAATTACGTTGTCTGTAACACCACCTTAACAGGCTTAGGAAGTTGCAGCTTAATAAGAAAGAAGTACGCATCACTACAACACCTCCTCTTCAACGTGATCGATAACCATTTGTGAGTTAGATTTTGCCCAAAAACTGCCAATACATGCATAAGAAATCGTTATACAGTGGACCATGATCCATACAATTATGTAGATCATGGTCTAAAACACTGTCGTTTCTTTTAATGAAAAGAAGCGGCAGTCGTTATGCTCACATATTGAATCTATATTAATTTTTGTCAAATGAAATTGTATAGTAATTGAATTAGAATGATACTTTAATTGTGTTGTAATAAAACTATAGTGTGTATAAAATAAAACTGAATAACAAATCTCACATATTGAGTGTATATTATCAAATGAAACTATAGTTGAATTATAATGATACTTTAGTGCAGATGTAATGAAACTACAGTGTGAATTAAATTAAATAACAAGTTTCACATATTTGAATTGAATATATATTGTCCAATGAAACCGCAATTAAATTAGAATTATACTTTAATGATGTTGTAATTAAACAACAGTGTGTATAAAAAGAAATTCAATAACTATAGGTCTCATATATTGAGTGCATATTGTCAAATGAAATTGTAGTTAAATTAAAAGGATACTTTAGTTGTGCTATAATAAAACTACAACCTAAATAAAACGAAAATGAATACGTCATAAATAATATTATTATTAATTAACCAAGTCAAAACGTACGTGGAACGTGGGTACGTGTGTGTGAATGTTAACATGGAAATCTGTAAATGTGCAGTACGTGGGAAGTGCAGCATGGAGCATTAATTTCTTCATTTTAGTATTTTAGTTATACTAGTATTTGCACCCGTGCGATGCACGGAATGAATTTGTTATAATATAATAAGAATATATAAATCGATAAATAATTATTTAAATTAGAAAATCAAATATTTTATAGTACAATTAAAGATATGGTTTGGATCGTTTATATATTTTGATGTTATTGTTGGTTTTTTGGGCTCAGGGAGGTCCAACACAACCGTGGATTCACCTTTCAAAAATAGAAGGGAATAAGCAATTTTTGTGTGTATGGGTCTCTATTCTCTCGGCATGAACCCGCCTTTTTACAGCTTTGGAGGAGCCTTTTATAGTAGGTATCCTTTGATTTTGACTTCAAAACATACATTTAAGGTCATAATTGGCTCATTAACCTCTATTTATCCCTAAAGGCCGATGGGTTGCCGTTACTGGGCCTCCCAATGGCTCTTTGACTGGGCTATATATTAAACGTCATCTTAAATGCTCCAACGGTCTCTTCGTCACTTGCACCGACCGAACACTCGCGCCGACCTCATGGTCGGGCCGACTCCGTGGCTCGGTCCATGCTTCTCTTAAGCTTTCCTTCTTTTGGGCCTGACCTCTTCCTCTTTCCGGGCCACTCTTTATCTCTTGGGCTTTTTCTCTCTCTCCCAGACTTTAGGCCCGGGGTCCACACCCCATCAGTTATCATTGCTTGAATTTGTGCAAATAATTGCTCAAATTAATAGCTAATATCTAGATGTACGCATACAGTGATATAACTTTGAAGATTTTATTTATTATTGTTTAGTATTTTCATAAATTAGGCAAATGTGCTCGTTCTCTAACAACTCAGTTATAGAAATGAATTGCTATCCTTATTCATTTGTATGAAAGATATATTTTTTGGTCTAGATATATAGCAATTTTTTTCATTTAAAAAAAAAAACATAATATCACCAATTATATTTACACATTATTGAAACTTCTTTGCAGACGACATTGGTAGTGGCAACACAATCTTGTTTATCTTCGTCTAGAGCTAATACCTTCAATCCATCAAGGCGGGTTAATTGTGTGAAAATATATAATGGTAGAATATCACTCAATTAGTTATCCTTTTATATTTTCAATCAATTAGTAATATTAGATTCATTTTCAGCCATTTTTTTGTTTATTTTCAGTCAATTAGAATATCAAAATGCAATGATATTTTTACCTAATTTTCGTTCCATTTTTATTTGATGATGTAGATATTATTATTGAAATATTTCTGTTCCATTTTTAATTTACCTTTACTATTATTTAAAATATGCATTTACTATTGATAATGTAGAATATTATTATTGAAATATTTTCCTCCAATTTTGAATTTCCATTCCATTTTTTAATTTTTTTTTGAATCACATTCCATTTTTAATTAAAATGCATTGATCTGACCATTTCTTTTTTTTTTTTTAGTCAATTATGGATCATATTTTATTTGCAATCAATTATTAATATTCATTTCCTATAATTATTTTCAGTTAATTAGTAATATTAGTGATGGGGTGAGAACCCCGTGGGCTCGGGGCCCAAGAAGAAAAGAGATCAAGCCCAAGAAGAAGAAGAGAAACCCAAGAGAAAAATGGAGTAAGCCCAAAAGAGATACGAGTCAAACCGAGGAGTTGGCTCGACCCGGGAGTCGGCACGGGTAGAAGGTCGGCCTAAAGTGGCCGTTATCATTTGAAAGACCTATTAAATTACCCTACTCACCCACAAGGCCAAGTGGCCGTTGTCCTCATCACAGCCCCATCATTACCAATTAAGTACACATTTACTACCTAACTTAATACCCATAACCCCTTATCCTATTTACTACCTCATCCTAACCCCCAATTTAATACCCTTAATCCCTACTAAATACCCCCCAACATCTCTAAAGCTCCTTTAGCTATAAAAAGGGGAAGGCAACAAGATCAAAGGGGGGGCCTGGATCATGGAAAAGGCACTATGCCACAACACAAAGCAAATAATACTCCTCCCACTCACTCATTCATCTACATGTGGGGAGGACTCTCCCAAATATTTTCCCAAGGAGACTCCGTATGAGAAGGCTCCAAGCACTCTTCCTACACCACTCTCCCAAGAAGGCTCCATATGAGAAGACTCCACCACCATTCCATCTAGAAGCATACTCCATCTCTCGGTATCATAAATAGCTCTATTCTTACACAATATCTCTATATACAAAATAGTCATACAACATGTACAAAGATATACCTACGAAATACATAGTGGAATTAGGCGTGGCACCGCCCAAAAAGGCCCGTGGTTTTCCTTTCGGTTTCCACGTCAAAATCATCGAGCCCATATTATTTTAGCAAGCTTTATTGAAAGGTGTATCCTCCAGCTAAAGGTTGTGTTGGACCTCCTTGGGCCCGAAAACCCAAAAACCATCACTGGCGCCGTCTGTGGGGATCGTGACAAAAGGTCGCGTTTACCTCTTTGTCTGAGCAATTTCGGAGAGCGTCCGGTCACTACGGACGGAAGGTTGAGAAGGTCCACGGAGAATAGTGGACCAAGAAGAGGATTAGAGGAGAATCGAGCACGAATACTACATGTTGAGGTCAACAAGAGGTAACCATTATTATATAAATTTTACGTAATATTTAAATTAAAGCTGTTGGCAAAGAGTCGTCGGTCCATCACACTGAGGGACTCGGCCAGGGGAAATCAAGAAGTCGGGACGCCGAATAAATGATTCCCCCACCAGGACCTTAACGGTAACCACCATGGTCACAATTATTTTATTCTGCCTTTACTTTTGATCATGGGGAAGGCTTTGCTATACTGAAGCACATAGACAGTGTGATTCAAAAAAAAAAAAAAAAAAGTTCCAGTCAAGTGTTTCTAGTTCCAGAGGATAAAAAATTCTCGACTTTATATCGATGCGGAGCAATAATTGAAATGTCTTAGCCTGCTGATAAAAGCCAGACGCGAAAAAGATCACCATCGGATCCGAGGCTGCGCAGGAGTCGACCCAAAATTCCACGGAATTCTAAGCTTGTAAAAAAAAAAAAAAAATCAGAGCAGTCACGGCTTTCGAATGAGAACATAACAGATTGAAGCCAAATCTTTGGTGGTCAGAATTGCAGCTCATACATGGAAAAATTGAGAGAACAAAGTTTTCAGGTAGAAAAGACTGATTGATTGCGGCCGACTTGGATAACCGACTCGAACTCGGATTCGGAAGCTTCGCGGCAATGGCCACCAGTTCTCCTCCCCTAAACGCACATGCAGACAATAATCTAAACTCAACAAGCTACTCCAGCTACCATGACCGACGCCACCGAGTGACCGCCGACTCCTTCTCCTCCATACAGAGGTGGTCCGTCGAGTCCGCCAAGCCCACGTAGGTGTTCACTACAAACTGTTCCCCCGAGTCCGCCAAATTCGCAGAATCAACAGAGTCGGCCGTCATATAGTTGGCCCAAATATGTTCAGCTGTGAGGCAGTCGGCCAAGCGAGTTCGCTGGAGTCGGAGCCATATGTGGTTGGCAAAGACGAGTTGGCACCGTCTATCCCCCAGATTCCAGTCTGTGG